GTGCCACTCGTGCGGCTGCCCCTCCTCTTCCTTGCCTCGGAGACGACTGTATTAGTCGTCTGCCGAGGCCCGAAGTCAGTCTGTTTTTGCACTTTCATTGGAATGGATTAAGTTTTCTTTATTTTTGCTGAAGCTATAGCATGACTTTTTCACAATGTAGCATTAAGGATTTGTAGTTTTGTTCCTGTTAGCCACATCTGCCTGATGTGATGCTTTATTGGACTTTATAGTTTTTTTACTCTGCATATGTTTTTCTATAATAAAGCCTACTGCTAGAAGCTTGGATGCTCTGCGTGTTGTTTTATTCTGCTGCAATAAACACTCTGCTGGATTTACAAAAACCCACTCCTCCACCGCTCCAAACCCCTCAACCCCAGCAAGGCCTAGCAAGGCAGCTAGGCCTTGCGTACTGCCGCCACCGTGGTGAAAGCTTAGCAGGAGGTAGCGGAGGAGGAGGAGGAGAAGGTGGGAGCCGGGACTGGCTCCAAACTCAGGTTTGAGTGCTGGACTGAAACTCTAGAGGTCAGGGTTCAATTTTCCACTCGAGCATAAAAGCCCACTGGGTGACTTTGGGCAGGTCACACTCTCTCAGCCTCAGAGGATGGCAATGACAACACCCCTCTGAGGAAACTTGCCAAGAAAACTCTATGATAGGGTCGCCATAATTAACAAATGACTCAGAGGCACACAGCAACAATAGTTTTATATATATACATATATGTATATATCTGAACAAACCTTGCCAAGAAAACCCCATGAAAGAATCACCTTAGGGTCTCCATAAGTCATATAAGAGTGCATTATCATTTTGTTCAAGTAACATTGTATCTTTCTATTTTATTTAATGTTGTATACCTGGTTTTGTTCATTATTTCCTATGTTAGGGGTCCCGGTGGTTTCTTCTTTTGATTGAGACGTCAATGAATACCAGGTGCTGGAGGTTCTATTTCAGAGGAATAAATTGGCAAAACTACCTCTGAGTATCCCTTGCCTAAGAAAACCTGATTAAATTTATGGGGTTGTAATAACTCAATAGATTACTTGAGGACAACACATACACACAGAAGGCCATTTCCTAAGACATAAGTCCCAAGCAGAGTGCCACGTTGATTAATTTATGAGCTCTACCTAATTATTTGATTAACCAATCAATTATATTTGCATACGGGTGAAAATAGTTTTGAAGCAAAAGCATACTTCCTATTACATATTCATGGTTCATAACTGATAAGTCTGCTCTAATTTTTCGGGTGCTTTCTAAAAAATAATTGCTAAGACAAAGATTTCTGTGATTTCCCATTTGTATAAATACTTACATTAATGTGAACCCATCCATCTGCTGCTGGATTTTGAGAGTGGGATGGGGATTATTTCAGTCAGGGAAAGCCCAGGAACAGAATGCAAGCATTCCATACAGAAGTTACAGGTTTAATCCACAGCATTTCCAGGTAAGGGATTAGGTAGTTGGTGATGGCAAAGATCATTATCCCCATAAAATCCTGCAGGAACAATGAGGCTAAGTAAAAGTGAACTAGATGGAGAAATAGTCTTACTTTGATTAAAGGAAATTTTCAATGTTGTTTTAATTGTTTTTCAGGTTAAGTCACTTGACTAATTGATTGACCAACTATTCAATGTTGCTTTAATAACCACAACTCCAAAATGATTATTTGCAATTAAATGATTATTGACATGTCTACACAGGCAAGCAGAAAATCAACTAACTGTATTCATGTGACATCTAGTGGACATTATTAAGACAACCCTTCCTATGCAAGGAAAATAATTGTGCCGTTTAACTAATCTGAATGACGGAGAAAGTGAATGACACAGAATTGTAGAACCATAGAATCTTAGAGCTGGAAGGAACTGCAAGGGCCATTGAGTGCAACCCCCCAGCCATGCAGGAATACACAACTAAATTCCCCCCTGAGAGATGCCCATCCAACCTCTGCTGAAGGACCTCCAAAGATGGAGGGTCCACCATCTTCTGAGGCAGTCCAATCCTCTATTGAACAACTCATACAGTAAATATATTCCTTCTAATGTCTTATGGAATGTATGTTATTCTAATGTGAACCCACTGGTTCACGTACTAGTCTCTGGAGCAGCAGAAAACAAGCTTGCCCCATTTTCAATATAGTATCTCTTCATAAATCTAAAGATGACTATCAGTCTTTATAAATGACTAGAGTATGGAATAGAAAACATGCTTATCAGATTTGCAGATCACATCAAATTGTAGGGGGGGGGTAACTAATACCCCATAGGATCGGATCTGGATTCAAAATGAGTTTGACAGATTGGGCAGACCCTGTTCCAAGTAACCATCTTTCAGACAATTGGTGCAGCCATGAAATGTATTTGGAGAGGGTCTCAAAGTGTGAGCCAGATGATGTGAGATAACTTCTTCTAAGTTTGGGCCTTGGCAGACTGCTAGAAATAGTGCAAATTGAGTCCACTTTAACTGCCCTGGCTTAGTGCTAGGGAATCATGGGAATTGTAATTTTTTTAAAACATTGAGCCTTCTCTGTCAGAGAGCTCTGGTGCCACAATAAACTACAGTTCCCATGATTCCCTAGCACTGAGCCAGGAGAATTAAAATGGACTCAATTTGCACTATTTCTGGCAGTCTGCAAAGTCCCTTTTACAATTGTAGATAGCATACCAAGTTGAGAAAGAAGATAATTTATTGTAGGCTCATATGTTGTTGTTGCGTACCTTCAAGTTGTGTGCAACTTATGGGGTTTTCTTGGCAAGATTTCTTCAGAAGAGGTTTGCCATTGCCTTCCTTTGAGGCTGAGAGCATGTGACTTGACCAAAATCACCCAATGGGTTTCATGGCAAAGCTGGGAATTGAACCTTGGTCTCCGGAGCTGTAGTCCAACACTCAAACCACTATGCCGTGCTGGCTCTCATATGACAGGTTGCCAAATCAGCATTTTCACAGAGTTTGGTCACATATCCTCTCATTCAGAAATTAAGAGATGGGCTTCTTTTAAAAGTATCACCAACCCCCCCCCCTTCTAAGAAATTTGGCTGAGGTGTTTGCAAACCAATGTGAACAGTAACATATGTGTTAAGTTTCCCACCTTGTGCATTAAATATGGTTTATACCTATTCTCCTTCTGTATATTCACAATCCAAAAGGTAGAGAGCTTTTCAGGATGTACAAAATGCATTTCTTGCACTAGACAGATGATAGCAGCTAGTTCCCATGCCCTGATAAATGAGGAAAGCATTGGGACAGAAAAGGAAAGGTTGGTTTCTAGCTTGCCTAGTCCCTAGCTTTAAATCAATGCCGCAGAGCAGAAGTCATGATTCTGGAACTGACGTGCCTCTTGGGAATTTGTTGTCGCTGTTGCTGTTGTGTCATTTTTCATGTCATTTTTTACTGATAGCGATCATAAGGCGAACCTATCATAAGGCTTTCTTGGCAAGTTGCTTCAAAGGAGTTTTGCCATTGCCATCCTGAGGCTGAGACTGTGTCACTTGCCCAAGGTAACTTTGTTGTTAACTGCCCTCGAGTCAATCTCTACTCATGGCAGCCCTATGAATGAGACATCTCCAAGACCCCCTGTCCTCCATTGCTCTGCTTAAATCCTGCAACCCCTTAATACCCATGACCTCCTTAATAGAGTCCATCCATCTGGCAGCATGTGGCCTTCCTCTCTTCCTACTTCCCTCCACCTTCCCCAGGATTATTGTCTTTTCCAATGAGTCCTCTCTTCTCATGATGTGTCCAAAGTACAATAGTCTCAGTTTGGTCATCTTGGCTTCTAGGGATCTCTCTGGTTTGATCTGCTCTAGGACCCATTTGTTTGTCCTTTAGGCTGTCCATGGGATCCTCAGCACTCTTCTCCAGCACCACATTCTCTCAAATGCATTTATTTTCTTCCTATCATCTTTCTTAACTGTCCACCTCTCATACATCCATACATGCTAACAGGGAATACAATGGCTTGTATGATTCTGACTTTTGTGCTGAGTTGTATGTTTTTGCATTTTAGAATTTTTTTCTTGTTCTTTCATAGCCACCCTCCCCATTCTTAGTCTTCTTCTGACTTTCTGACTGCAGTCCCCATTTCTATCAATGTTTGATCTCAGGTATGAGAATTCTTTTACTATTTCTATTTCTTCATTGCCTAGGTTGAACTTGTGAAGGTCCTCGGTGGTTACTAATTTTGTTTTCTTTATATTCAGCATTAAGCCTGCCTTTGTAGGCTTTTTTGATCTTCTTTAGTAGGTGTTCCAGGTCTGTGAGGTTTTCTGCTAGTATTGTGGTGTCATCTGCATATCTCAGATTGTTGATATTCCTTCCTCCTATTTTTACTCTTCCTTCTTCCGTGTCCAAGTCTGCTTTTCTTATACTATGTTCTGCATACAAGTTGAACAGATAGGGTGAAAGGATGCAGCCTTGTCTGACCCCTTTGCCAATTGTCTGACTCCTTTGCCAAGATTACTAAGTAGGTTTTAATGTTCAACCAAAGATTTGAACCCTGGTCCCGTGTCATAGTCCAGCACTCAGACCTCCACACCGTGCTTGCTCTTGTCTCCTGGGAATTAAACACATCCAAATTGTGATATATTGCACTCTAGATGGACTGTTACCCCAACCAACCTATTTATTTATTTATTTATCAAAATATTTATGTTCCACCCTTTACCCGAAGATCTTCTAATTCCCTTTAAAAACTACTTTTCAAAACATTTTCAGAGGCATTTTGAACGTAATTTTGTGTTGTTCCCTCCCCAACGATCCTTCTTGTTGTCGTTGTTGTGTGCCTTCAAGTCATTTCTGACTTATGGAGAGCCGAAAGCAAACCAATTCATAAGGGGGTTTCTTGGCAGAATTTGTTCAGAGGGGTTATGCCAAGGCTTTTGTCTGAGGATTCCATTGCGTGGAACCATGGTAGGTAAGATGGAGCCAAACTACTACTTTTACAGTGCAGATGCAGTCATCAATATGCAAAGGGATCTTGTATCCCCTTTTTCCAGTTGAGGGTCTTTTTGACACTTTTGGTGTTTTATACATTCCCCGTAAGTCCCAAGGGCCAAAAGGGTGGCCCCTGAACCACCACAGTTGCCTAGCTTTATCCTAGGTTGACCCTGGGTCTGACCCAGCCAAACCCTTTCTTTGTGCCCAGAGGGTCTTCAACCCTTTTTAAGAGTAGAAGTGTTCTTTGGGTGCCCTGCCTCTCATCGGAAGGTGGATCCCTCCCCTCCCAAGACTCTCTCTATAATGATTGGGGATTCCCTTAATCTAACCATTGGAAACTTGGATCAGCAATTGCCTTCCTCCTATGCTTTTTACAAGCCACTTACTACTACCATTCCGCATGTCGGCCCCACTCTTTCCTTTCAAAGTTAGACACTTTTGAGATCAATGGTGCTGTATTTGAAGACCTTTTGCCTTGGTCAAGTGCTCATTAACCCCAAGTCAGCAGCTATGGAAGAAGCACTGAACCTTGAGAAGGACTCTCCACCAGGACTGTCTCTGGAGAGCGAAGGAGAGGATACAGAGAGGAATGAGGAGGAGAAGGTCACCCAGGGATGCAAAGGGGCATGGGATGGGGGGGTGGGCTGGGATGAGAGTTTTGGGGTGACACTAGGTCCCTTCATGGGAGCTCCCATACCGAAATGGTTGGGCACCTTTCTCCCATGGGCAACAACTATATTCATTTCAAGGCTGTGAAAGATGATTCCGATGTGAGCTCCTGAGTGAGGATAGAGCATATTGCATATGGATCACAGAATCAAAGTATCATGGAATCTTAGAGTTGGAAGAGACCCCAAGGGGCCATCCAATCCAACCTCCTTCTGCCATGCAGGAAGACACGAATCCCTCCCTGTGACTGATGGCCATCCAGCCTCTGTTGAAAACCAGCCTCCAAAAAAAGACACTCTACCACCCTTCATTGAGGCAGCAGTGTCTTCTACTGTTGAATGCCTCTTCCTAAAGTTGAGGTGGAATCTCTTCCTGCAGCTTGAATCTATTGCTCCAGCTCATAGTCTCTAGAGCAGCAGGAAACAAGTTTCCTCCTTCCACATATCATCAAATCACAGAATCTGAGAATTGGAAGGTGTACCCAAAAGTCTAGTATGGGGAATTTTATTTAGCTCAAATTGAGAGGGGATCGGCTATAAGGACCCTGCGAGACAGTCTCCTACATGTATACCTAAGAACTGATGCAGAGACAGTATTCTCTAATTAAAGTATGGTTTATTAAAGGGGAAAATCACACAGCAGTTCACATACACACACACACACTCACGCACGGCTCGGAAATAAGGGGTTAGGCTGGAATAGATGCAGAGGCAAAACTACGGGTGCTACTTACTACAGATGAAGACTTCTCTGGGGTCCAATTGGGTGAAGTGGTGTGAGACACAACCATTCCAAGAGCGTGGCTTGAACGGAGGTGCTGGTAACCAGATCAGAGAACAAAGTGATGCAGGGTCCCCATGGACTCTGACTAGCAACACTGAGGGGAGAATTCCAGGAGTTTTTAAGGGATCAAACTAGGCCCTGGCAAGGTGCTTAATTGCTTGGCCGAAGCCTGGACAAAGGTGTTTGATTGTTTGTCTGATGCCTAGACAAAGGTGTTTGATTGTCTGGGTAAAGTAATCCGGTCTGGCAATATTCAAGGGGCGATGGGAGAGGATTAAGTCGTTAGCTGGCTTATCAGGCAAGACATCTAGGCCATTATTGCCCATCCTTCTGATTATGGAGGTGATGATGGTCCATTTGCAACTCCCACACTATCTGCCTGGCTTTTGGGATGGGTTTTTTCCAGTCTTCCAAGTGACCTGGGCATGACCTATTTGCCTTGCTATGATGGCACTTGGGGTTCACTGCAGAGTGCATCTGGGGCCACGTGGAATTCATACACACACCAAAATTCACAAAAACGCATTTTTGGTAAGAAAGGGATCCTAAAGGTTCATCCAATCCAACCCATTTTTTCATCCCTTCAAGACAGGATAGCATCCAGATGGGCAGAACCATAAACATGTCTCTCATCTCACAAACAATCTCCCTTTCTTTCCCAGGGCTACAATCTGCACTGGATTGAGTGTTATACTGATATAGCACACACAATAACCCTTCTAGCAAACTCTATAAGGTCATTAACATTGATCCGCTGGAGAACTTTACCATTATATATATATATATATATATA